AAAGCCATATTATAACATCGACTGAGATAAAGAATAAAATGAAATATTAAAATCACAATGTATCTCGCTGCATTGCGCGAGTACGTTTCTAGTAAATATTTAATCGTACTGGATTAATTATTTGAGAACTCTAAGTCTCTAAGATCCATGAGAATTTCTATCTTTAAAGTTTTGTTTTATATAATTTTTTTATTTAATTACAATATTTATATATCGATTAATGTGTTTGTTTCTCAATGTGTTTGATTCATATGTATTCATTTACATGGAAAACAAAATCATGTGTATCTTGTTTCACAATCACGCCAAAAAGGTTTATATTGTGAACTGAGTAAATGTGAAACAAATATATGTTACTAATTAAATTCTAGCCATAAATAAAAAGACTTGTATGAAATAACAAATGATGACTGGTTCTTAAAGATCTTATGATTTAAAAAGTTCTTAATAAAATATATGTTGGGTCATTGACCAACATCTTTATAAATCGAAACGTGGCGTTGACTGCTACGTTGTAAGAAAATAAGTTGCACCTTCTCCACAAACAATTATTTTTAGCGTAGTGGTAGCGTTTGGATTCTAATTAATATATATATATATATATATATATATATTTATTTATTTATTTAAACTAATTAAGAACCAAGAGAAAAAAAAATAGCAATGGTGGATTGGATGTGGAAGAATGTGATTGGTTTGTATTAATCAAATTTTTCTATAATTTTCAAGTAAATATAATTAATTAATTATCTCAATAAAATATCATTATTAAATTATGGTTTGGTAAGACAAATAATGGCTAATTTCATTAAGATGATCAGTATTTGATATATAAGTAAGGGGAGTTTTACCAAACGCTTACTTGGGTAAGTGAATATCAAGTTTCGTTATCCTACCGGATGAATATGGTAAGAATCAAGAATCTTACCCGGTAAGAGCGAGACAAAGACCAAGAGTTTTACCCGGTAAGTGAGGGCGATGACTCTTACCACGGTAAGCGCTTACCAGGTGAATTGTTGCATACGATACCGTTTTGGTCGACTCAAATTTTACCCGGTAAGTAACTGGTAGTGTTAATCCATTTTTTAACGTCGAAACATGTTAATTACCCATCTGATATTAATCTTCTTTCTAATTGTTAATTAAAAATACGATTTTACATCTGTTTGACCAGAAGTTACGTTGTCGATACGAAAGCTTATCTGTTGTTCCATGTAATTATAATTTAATATTCTTATAAATATTTTGTATAAATTTGGAATAAGTTTAATTAGGTATCCAAAACATCAAAATTTGTTGAACAACTTCCCATTCAATTCTCAACTTCTCTATAATTTATATTTACACTATATTATAAAGCATTTGACAAAAACTTTTAAAATCCATTTTTCATGCATAAATTACTGTTTATTGATACATATTACTTAAAATTCAAGACTACAAGTAGATTGTGCGTAACTACGACTTATTAAAGCCTTATGTTTGAATTTTTATAACTAACTGCAGATAAATATAATTAAATAAAAACATTTTCGCTTTCTCAAAACTATATAAAATCGTATTCTCACATCGATAGAGATAAGAATAAATCACTGTATTGCGCGTATACATTTTTAGTGTGTATAAATATAAATCAATTTTTGAAAATTAAATAAACCCAAATAAATATATTTAATTTAATTATAGTAATAAAAAAAATTAATTTAATAGGTAAATGGTCTATTTATTTGTTTATTTAAATAGGGGTATTATTGTAAGTTGAATAATTTAGAACCAAAGTTAACTCTTTTTTATTAATTTTTAATTGGACCAATAAGAGGAAGCCAACAAGACTATTAAGAATGCATGGCTATAATCTTTTTCCAATTTTTAATTGATTTTTTAAATATTAGATTAATTTATTAATATTATATATAAAGAGTAGCATATGTTTGTTTAATCAAAGGCACACCATTATTTGCCCAAAGGGTAAAAAGGGAATAATCAAAATATTCCTTAAAAAAGGTGACTATTTTTTAAATAATTCTTGTTTTTATCTTAAACATTAATATGTCATGTCAACCAAATTGATTATAATTTAATTTGCGAAAAAGTTGATTATCGGTAATCTTAATCAGTTTTATACGGACCCCGCTTCTGACAGTAGTCATACGCCCGTTTTTTGGCTCACTCGATGGCTGAGGCTAGCAGGGACCTGAGAACGAACCCATGATTGGTTTTGTATTTGTGCAAAGTCATTAATTAATATGAACAACTAAAAACCAAAAACGTGTAACGGAAGTCTTTACATATTAAATTGAAACTGAAACCGAAAACAAAATACTTATATCTGCTAGGTCTAATATGATTGGTTTCCAACATACTGATAAACTGAATAACTTGAAACAAATGAAATAAGTGAAATCAGTTGGAACATACTATCGGTGAAACTATGAGTGGTTCTCCAGTAAGCCTTCTTCTTTTGCTTATCGCTAACGAACTTGCATCTCCTGAGATATACATCACTGGTTAGCTATTAAGTTTGGTGAGTTCGTGGATTTCATCCTAAAACAATTTTTAATTGTGCCATACAAAATAAAAGACATCACAAACCACAAGGGTGGTGTCTGATTG